GCGTGAAAGTCAAAATAAAAAACTATACAAACAAAAAACATTCTTCAAATGAATCAATAAATGACCAAACAACATTAGTTCATGTTGTTTACAAGATTAAAAGAAGTTATTTAGTAGTTTAGTAGCTTCGACATCAATCCTCATTAAATCCATAAGGCAGTCTCATCTGGCTGTGTGATTTGTATTGTTGACCAGTAACAATAAAGATATTCAAATAATGCATTTGATTGGCTGATGCACCGTGATCAGTAACCACTCCTGATATTAGCATATACAATGTTTGTTTTTTTGTCATTAACAGAATGGGCAACAACAACTAAAAAAAAAAACAATCTGAAGCAAGTTTAGAGTTATGAAATTTCTAATTTAGTTGCTTGTTTAATATATACTTGTTTCTTTAAAACCAGGAAAAATGACGGCTGCATATATTTCTTCTGTAAACTATATCATAAATTATACATGAGCAAAAATCTTTAATTGTACGTCCATATAAGTACCGCCACTTTTATGTTGAGATTTAACTCTTATACAAAACTTCAACGTGTGGAGAAGTATGCGACATATCCGAGAAATATGGTTTGGGTAACCCAAGAATTGCCTGCACATACATATACTGTCACATTAAGAAGAGTTTGTCAAATATTTAGAATAATAACATGGAAAGAAGTTGCTGTCAAGCTTAAAATTTAATATTTATTTACCCGTAAGGTCAAACCTGCAGAGTTTCTTCTGTTGGATTCAAGTATTTTACTACATTCTTTAATTTAGTTCTAGGTTTTTATACAAATAATTTTTTTTAATAGGTAAACTTATGTACATTAGTGGAATTCAGCTCAACAATGCATACTTGTTGACGCACCTGGTTTTATGGAAGTCTCCCATTTCAGAGGTTCTACTCCTGCTTTCATATCATTAAACTCTTTAATAAATACACAAACTTTTCTGTGCCTTACCTTATCTTACCACTCATTCCTCACTATGAATACTGAATAGTGACTGTTGGAAAACTTAGGTAATGGCATTGTCGACAAGTTTCATTCATGGTTATGAGACTTATAAATAAAGGTACACGTATGCAAGTTATCATATTAAAATTGAATACTTTTAATATGGCTAACTGAGTATCAAATATACTGTAAAAACTTGCTCTTTCTCAGTATGTATCCATTACATAAATTTGGAACTACAAGAGTGTAAATCTAATAATTTTCAATGTTTAATTAATATCTAAACCAGGTCGAAATTTAGTAAGATTTTTAATGAAACATAATTATATTTATATTTGTGAACTCGTATTAAAAACAAACTTACTGGCAAGGATTGAACTTAGAGAAAACAATTACCAGCGAAGAGTAAAAACTGACTACCTTTTTCATGGCTTCATTTACAGCATTTCCAAATTCTTCAATGTCAACACCACTGGACACTGTTTGTAGAAGGCCTTCTTCAGCAGACATACTTAAGTTGTGGCGGTTCCTAACTCCCTGTTAGAATACAGAGTTGAGGGGATTTTATTTAAAATACAAACAATACTAAGATATATATATATATAATGATAAGTACAACTACACAATGTAAATGAAAATTTGTTCTAGTTTCTAAATTGGTAAATGAGCTGATTTTTTTAAATATCAAACACAAAAACTTCACTGTGCATATAGTCATTACACTAACAAGATCTCTTTACACAACTCCACTGAGCACAAGGTCATTACATCAACAAGATTTCTAATAATAATTTTGGTTTAAGTTTACTTACTCATTAAGTATATTTCATTAAAAGTTACAGCTTTTACAGTACGTAAGATTTATATTTAGAACAGGTACAATGTTTAAATCACTGCAGCTTTTACAGTACGTAAGATTTATAATCAGAACAGGTACGATGTTTAAATCACTGCAGCTTTTACAGTACATAAGATTTATATTCAGAATAGGTACAATGTTTAAATCACTGCAGCTTTTACAGTACATAAGATTTATATTCAGAATAGGTACAATGTTTAAATCACTGCAGCTTTTACAGTAC